CCTAGAAAGATAATAATGTCGTTTCATATTATAACCATATTTTGCTGTACTTACTGTGCGTTTGAAGTCTGCTGCTGCGAATTTATAATCACACCAATTTTTTGGACATTGGTTGAGCAACTGTTGTTTCCATGCAGCTTTCCGTTTTTATAGCTACTCATGCACTCTTCAGTCCACCATGGAGTAAAAGAACCTCTTGTGGCCGAGTTTAATTTAAAAGTGGCATTTTTACTGATATTTTTAACACTGCACACAGACTCATAAACCTAATGTCACCTTGTATGTCCTTGCGGTGATCAAAAGTAGCCCTCAAGTCTTTTTCTAATATTCTATAGCTGAGGAATGAGCGGGCCTTTTCGGCGACATGTATTTTCGGAAATTTCAGTACAAAACTAATAGGCAAGTGGTCACTGTCAGTAGCACAGTCTTAAGTTTGCCACGAACATATATTTAGAGATGAGCTTGAAAATGTCAAGTCAATTACAGATTTAGAGAGACCTCGGACAAAAGCAGCAGATTGCGAATTTAAAGAAGATAAATTCTTGTCAATAACCTATTCCCACAAGCGTTTTCCGCTTAGATCTGTTTTAAAACCCCAAGCCACATGATGTGAATTGAAGTCTCCAGTGATTAATATATCCTTTTTGCAGGCAGAGAACATATCGTCTAGACTTCGTGTGCCTTGCACCCCGGCTGGGAAATAAACATTTACAAACGAGAAGGGAGAACTGTCGGGTAATATTATGTCTACTATCAAAATTTCACAATCTGGAGTCACACAACGATAAGAGATCGTAGCTTTGTGACTAAACTTAGTTGCTATCAAGACACCAAGCCCACCACCTCTGCTAGGTCAGTCCAATCAAAATAGCCGATAATTTTTTAGGTAAAACTTCTGGCTGGTTGAAAGCCAGGTTTCTTGCAGTGATATAATGTTCGGGGAAAGTTGTGAAAAAAAGGTATGATAGGTCTGTGGCTGCGAAAAATATAGATCTGCAATTCCACTGTAATATGGTTAGTGAACCTATATTGACGACAGAACCGTCGCAGAAACTGCTTTTTCCAAAATGTCCTTTCGCAAAAAGTCTTTCTTAGACATGTTCTCAAAGAATTCTTTTTTGGATAGATACTTTTTAGATTTTGAATTATGCGAAGAATTTTTCGATTGGGGAGATTGGGTTCGCTTCAGAGCCTTATGAGAGTCCACATCCATATCTGCACATGCTTCCGAATCATCCGTTAGATCACCGTCTTCCTTTGTTTTGGAAGTCCCTGCCTCAAGAGAAACCGCTCGCTGACGTGTTGTCGCACTATCTATTTTCGTACGCTGCGATACCAATGATGTCTGAGGATCCCAATCGTTCGTAGATGCTACACCTAGAATTTGAGATAGTTGATTGAAAACCAATTGTGCCAAGCTTTCAAAAAGGTTGTTTCCGAGGCCTTCCATTGCCTCCTCCGTAGCCTTCTCTATGGCCTCTGCGATAGATGTTGCGATAGATGCATCCAAGGCGGTGGTGTTACGTGCTGCAACACCGGCATATCCTTTAGATCTCCCCTGCATTTCTGCAACGGCTTCTCTCCGAGAGCACCGCTTGCGTTCTACAATATCCAATATGGCAAGATCCCTTTCTTTTGCTGCACAGTCTGCGGAGTCTGCAGGGTGCGCCCCATTACATAAGCAGCACCTCTCTTTCTCAGAGCTGCACTTGCGGCTGTCATGATTTTCACCACACCGACGGCACCCTCTGACGCTATGTCCTTATCACCAACATTTCAAACACTGCAGGGGTTTGGGGGAAAGTGGCTCTACCTTATAGATCAGTGGCCATGCCTTAATTTCGGAAGGTCGGAGTGTTCCTAAAAAGGTCACTATCACCGATTCCGTTGGGCATTTTATGTTATCAATTGTACGGGTTCACCTGTACACTGAAATCACACCCGCCAACAAAAACAAATCGAGCACTTCTGCAGCTGTCAGGCTTGTGTCTACACCACGGACTAATCCTTTCGAGCATGCGAGGTGTGCCGGAATAAATGGGCTTACCGGAAGCGCTGCGAATTCAGAACATTGCAGGATCTTACGAATGCATTCGTGATCTGCGGAACAGCACAGGATGCTTCTGCGACCAAACTGGCGGACCTCAGTGATCTCCTGCAAATGCGAAGTAGCTTTTCGAAGCTCCACTTGAATCGCCTTTGGGTACTTCATCGGAATACTGCCCACATCGGTAGGTACCAGCGCCACAGGGACACTTCTCGCCCCACTGCGTAACAAATAGTCTATCGGCCAATCCTTGGCGGGAGTGGAAGCTAACCAAGGGGAGTGCCCTTGGCCGGGGGAAGAAAATGAGATCAAGATCGCATGACTCGCTTCAGCAGAGAAAGACCGATACAGTTACCGGAAAATAACGAACTCTCAAAGAAAAATAACGATACTGCCGCCCGATCCTGAGCCCGAGCAGCTTCTTCACAGTCGAGCTTCACAGTACATGTCAGGCGTTAGGCTACGTCCATGTTTTTGCATTTTGCATTGTTGGGGATTGCAAAGCTTCTGTCATAATTCCTCATCGTCGTCAGCCCCAATTCACAAGGTGCACCGGGTACCGTGGTTCTCTTGAGAATGACGAAGGATGGCATAGATAACGCCTGCCTACTACACAAGGATTAATGTCCTATTGGGTACCATGCAAGTGTGCTTGCAGCAGCTACACAAAGGGTGTTAAAAGACTCTGAAAGGCTGCTCTTCCAGTTTTTGCTGTGACAGTGCTGCGCGTTTTGCGCAGGCCTGGCAGTTTTTAAGGTTGCATCTACATTTGTTTTATTGTAAAAAATTTACGATATTTTTTTTCAAGTTAGCTTGTTGGAAGCAGTGAAATGCACAAACAGAAATTAGAACAAAGATTACGGAAGGATGAAAACAAAAAAAGACGATCAAACGAAATATTTGGAAGTGGATAATGTTTGACAAAAGCCACCTTTGACTATTACTGAATATTATAATAATAATGCGGAATCGGGGCATTAAAAACATGATTTTATTCTGTTTAAACTTCGTGGTTCAGTGATATTTTGTTAAGTCATCCGATAATTGTTTTGTTTGCGCTTTGCACTTTCTCATTTGCTCTTCATTTTGTCATCAGTGTTTTTTTTCATGTTCTTTGAACTTATTAAAAATATACGTATTTTTTCCCAACACTATGCTTCAATACTTTTTTGAAATTTTATCAAAACGTGCCACTTCAGTTATCATGTGGCCATTTGTTTTGGTGGTAGACTGGCTGCACTGTTCTTGTGCGTACGTAAAAGACTGTGACGGTTTGGTGATTTGCATGCAACTGAGGTTACGCTTAGAAATCTACGTAGTCATAGCTAATAAACTTGGAATAGTGAATGCGGCATTCACTAGTGAACAAACGTTATATAAATTTGGGTTGTGAAAAATATTATCCCATTACTTTACCCGCAGAGTTTCTAAGGTAAACAAGACACGTACAAGTTGTACAGTCCTTTGAAGATCTAGAATCAAAGCTCCTTGATGCTTAATCCACTCCTTGATCTAGAATCAAAGTCTAGACGTACATCCGGCTGCAATCCATTCAAGCGCCGTGCACAGTCATAACGCATGTAAAAGACATCGGCACACAATACCATCTACAGAGGACAAATGTGGTTTAAAAATCGCCAATCCGTCCAGCCGATCATCCGTCCATGCATCCATTCATACTTTAGAGTAGTCTGCAATTTCAAGGTAGATGTTATGAACCATAGGTTCTAACTTTGGTTCATCGTTAGCATCCACTTTGTGGATATGCGTGTATTTTTCTCTTTCTCTTTCCTCATGAGAATGCGTAGTTCGACGGTGTGTTCCCGTTTGTGATTGAAGGTAATTGTCACGTGTTAAATTTTAGTTTTATTAACACTACTATGTTAGATTCGTGTGTACTCATTTATTTTGAAAATATAGTATCTTAAACAAAGCTTTATCAACTTCTCCAGTTTCTATTGATATTTTCATATTAACGGCCCTATTTTTCTAACCTGTGGGTCATCTTATCCAAACACTTGCGGGAGCATAACAAAGCGTTAACTATGTTAACATTTATTCATGGCTCGCTGCGTCACCGGTAAGAGCAGTACTCATTAAACATGAAAGTACAGTGTCAGTAGGGCCAACAAAGTGATTTTGCAGCTGCACAATTCTCACTGTGTTACCTTGCTAGCTTCACGACAGATATAATTTTCTTTTCGCTGTCGGCTTTACGTTACGCGTGACTAATTTTGTTCCTTCCTTTTACTTCGTTTTTTGCTTCCCACAATTTTCGTTCAACTTCACAGAACGTTTCCAGAAGAGTAGTATTAGTTTTATGCTAGCAACAGTCTGCTGTCTCAGATCACCCCTGCCATAATGGTGCGTAGATTTGTGTGCCTGTGGTTTAAATAGACAAGTCCGCTGTCAGGAGTTGCCAGCATCTCGTCAGGGTGCAACTGCTTGTCATGGCGACCAATTGCATCCTGATGACAGGACAACATTCTTCATGCATGTGCCATGTCAACATAACCATCGCGAGTCGTGTACCTTCTGTGTACCACGGAACCAATTATTCTTTTTCTGTCTCATGAATGATGATATTCGTGGATTCGATTATGGCACCTTGTTCATCCTTTCATATTCGTTTCCTCTCTGCATTAGGACAAGACTAATGCCTTTATGCAACAGAAATAATAATTTTCTGTATATTGACAACCGCCTTTTGTCACTCGCAAAATCTATTGCAAATACTTGGCCGTAACTAAAACAAAATTCCGAACCTAATTTAAATAATTTTGTCTCCTCTATGCTTTATGCACGAAACAAGAAAGCTCGACTTGGTGAACATTAAATCTTAAGCTGCTATTCCTCGCGCACCATCAGCCGTAATCTATTCTGCATGGACAGATGAGCACCTCGAGCACCTCCTTGGTTGTTGGCAGGCAGCCACGCACGTCTTTCTAGATCCATGGCGGAAAAGGTAAAAGTGCTCATAAGAACGTCTACTATGCTCACGCATTCAGCCCTACAAGAGCAAATCAAACGAGGTTGATATCAAACATTACCTTAGCTTGGAGCCTGAGGCCAGTAAATACAGCACGCATGCTGCATGAACGAAAAGCCCATAGAAATTGGCTGGCTACGATGACGCAGTTTCTCTCAGAGGAAAATCGCAGTCCACAGTACCTCTTTTTTGGTGCGTGCTTCCCTGCTTAGGGACACACCATTTTGGTGACTGAGTAACGTAGCGGCAAAATCGTAGCGACACCGTAGCGGCAAAGGTCCAAATGACACTGCAAGCTGACGCCTTATTTTTAAGATCCTCGAGCGACAATCAGTGGGGCAGTCGTGCATTGCGTGCCATCTAAATTTTTCATAGCTATGTACAAACAACGAACACTATCAAACACTGCATTGTTATGACTGACTTTTCTGCTGACGTCATCCAACTAAGCTGGTGGGGTTCAGAGTATGCCAGCGGCGTTAGAGAAAGAGCACTCCCACGATAGATCAAATAAGAAACTTCAAGGTATTCGTGGAGACCCGTAGAAATATTATTTTAAAAAGTAAGTTTGTAGAATGGGAAAACTAACACGCAAATCTGCCTATGCCTCTCGAGGCAATATTCTCCAAAGATAAGCAATAGGATTCTATATAAGAAATAAAACTAATATCTACGGAAGAATGGCTAGTTTAACAAGTTCGTACTGATTTATAATGTACTACGCAAAAAAAAGCGAACGGAAACACGAAGTAGAAAAAAAACACAGACAAGCGCAGGTAAGCCAGCGCCTGTCAGTCCTATCTCTCTACTTCATGTTTCCGGCAGCAGCCTAATCTGATACTTGTGCGTGAAGTATAAAGCCGGCTCACAACCATAATATTACAACTAACACCCCTCCAAAAGTAGTTCTTCTTAGAAGATCTGCTAATTCATAACATTTATTACACTCTGGGCACAGTATGCAAAAAATACCTAAACAATTGCATTGGTTATTATTACAACTGTTAGGTTATTATTACAACTGCATTATTACAACTGTTAGGTACCTTTCAAAGATTACATTGAACTTGCACTTTTAAAATCAGTGCAGTGTAGCAGAGAACTTCACATCTTAGCAGCCTTGAGCTTATTTGGTAATGAGAAATACTTGTGCATGCAAATATTTTTCTTTTACCCAATAAGCTCAAATTGGTAAGTAAGAACACTAATCTCTGTGTACACTATGTCAATTTCATAAGAAGGCGCCCGAACATTCACTTAGATCGGTCAGAGTCAATCGGTGCACCCTACAAGGAATCTTTTGTCCATTTTAAAGCAGGATGCACTCCTCGTTTCTTAATGCGTAGCCTTCTTCATGCAGAAGAAACGCTATTCTCGATGTAATGACAGCACAACAAGGCAACTATAGCAGCGCTGAAGAAAAACGATGTGATTAGTGCAAAAACCACCACATGTATATGAGATTAGCATTAGTGGGATATATATACTCCGTCACATAAATTTCAGTTACATGATGAAAACTGACGCACACCAAGATTTAGTTGCACAGATTTTTCCGTATTCGTCCCTTTTTGAAAGTGGCTGCATGGGAATCAAACCTCATGCTAAGTTCCAGCGCGCAACACGTTGGCCGCTATCAACCGCTTTCGTATAGCTGTGACATAGATATAAGATACAAAATGCGCAATAGACTAGCGTTCTGAAAGCTTAATGTCTAGCTCTGCGAAAGGAAGTAATGACTAGTGACTAGGGCTGCTGGGCTGCAAAATCAGGGGCCCAAGCCAACAATTAGTACAAGCATGGGTCGCTGGGTATGCATTGTTCTGTTGAGTTGAAATTAAATAAACTTTGTCCAATAACTTGTCACTTTTGCTCAAGGTAGGCTGTCGGAAGTCCACCATTCGCGGAACACATTTCGAGGTCTTCTACGATAGTACAGGCCCGCTAGACTGCCCTACTGCTAGTACACGGGGACCTCGCTGATGAAAACAACGGCTTGCCGTCCCACAGTGAAGCACTACGCTTCAGAGGGTTCTGCAGTTGATCGCTGTCATAGCCTTCTTGCCTATCTTCCTCCTATCTTCCTTCTACTATAAGCATTGGCTTGATACCTCGGCCATACGCCATTGAGTAGACAGCACTGCTCAACTGAATAAATGATTTGGAATCTCAAATTTTAAGAATGAAGTTCGCAATCTTTTATCCTCTGCCCACTTTCACATAAACAGCATTCGTCCCAGCTTTAGTGAATTTCGTCTGATGATATATGGAGACGCACGCTACTTGGTTTATTCATAGGAGGCGCCACTGGAAAGCAGTCGTTGTGTTTTTGTTTGTATTCCTTTCACTCAGTCGCTTATTTCTTGTCTCATAACAGAATCGGCTCCATATGCTGGCTTGAAATAGAATTCATTTTTTAGGTATGAGAAAAATAAAAAAAAAAAGTTTTTTTCTCAATCTTAAGATTTTTCTACAAGTAGCTTACTCTAAAGCATGCCAGCTTGTGAATTACAAGAAAGTGCGTACTGACCTGAATATTCAAGAACAACCCAGCCAACTGACAATACATTTCCGCACACTTAATTTCAATGCAGTTGCTACACGTGACGGCGCTGGCAGGTGGCGAGGCACTGCTGCCATGCGACTTGTCCCCAGACAATGACTCAGTGGCACTGGTGTTGTGGTACAAGGATGCCCTGCCCACGCCGGTCTACTCGGTGGATGCCCGGCGCGGGGACGTGTCGCAGGCGCGACACTCATCCATCGCCTGGGGAACGCGCGCCTACTTCGTCACCCAGCCGACGCCTGGGCTCAGGCTGCAGGACCTCGCGGTGACGGATTCGGGCGTCTACAGGTGCCGCGTCGACTTCCGAAAAGATCGTACACGCAACCACGAGACTTCGCTGCTTGTCATCGGTGAGTGAACAATACGTGCTGGCAGCTCCTCTACTACGTATCGGAAGCGACTTAGCCGAATTCGATGTGTCCCTAGTCTTTTGATGAATTATTCATAAGTGTTTCCAGGTGAACAAAAGAATGCGAAAAAGTGCTTTTTGACTTTCTTGGTTCTACATATCCAAGCATGGCTTCATGACAATTTTCAGCTACCAATGAAGGCACTGGTCAGTGAATGAGGGCGACTGGCTCAATTGCCAGTGATGGCAAACGCACAAAGAGGAGACAGAAAGTTAGGACGGCCGATGAAATTAAAAAGTTAGCAGCCATAACGTGGCCGCAGAAAGCGCCAGACCAGGTTAAATTGGCGGATCATGGTGGAAGCCTTTGCCATGCAGTGGGCGCAGTCAGGCTGATGCTGAATGTGCGGGAAATCTAGCAGTCTTTTTTTTTATTGGGAAAGAGGGCAAAAAACAACGAATTCGGCATGTAAGTGTGTCATGTAATATTTCTTTGTTTTCTTTCTTTCTGTTTTTCTAGTTCCCCTACGCACACTGCTAAGTTTTTTTTTTTTACCTCCAAGCTGGTAGTGCACATTCCTTCACTTTCTCAGCAGCGGAACCTTCAGTATCTTACAGGCAAAAATGACAATCATGTGTTTTTATCCACGAAACGGGAAAATGCAGGAGTTATCAAAGGGCCCCTAAACCTAAATCGAGTTCAAAGATGAGACAGCAGTTTTCGCTAACGTTCTTGCGAACGCTATCTCCTTCCCATCACTTCTTTATTCATATGACAGGTTGGATGTCAGCACTAATCTTTGAACCAGTGAAGATTCCATGCTTTTCACCTCATGCAGTTGCAAACGCAGAAAACAAAGTGAAATCAGTTCACCGCGTACGATAGTCACCGAATAGGAGGCAGAACGGGCATCCAAGTACAATGCAAACCAGGGTACGAGACAATTCACAAGAAATATTCTTCGTATATCAACCACTCGAGCGCTTCGCTCGTCCTGACGTTTCGAGATTAAACTCCTGAATGCATCAATTGTGTAACAAAGAGGAGAAACATCCATGGAAGCATTTCTTTTTCCTGGGGCCGGTTCCTTGTGCCTCAGTGCTGCGCAGTTTTTCTCTCTCCCGCACTGCGCATGCGCGTCTCCTCCCCTTCTCCCTCCGCTCCAATGATTCCCCCTCTCTCTCCTCGCAACGACAACGCAGGCAGCGTCTGCTAGCATACGCACCCTTTCCTTCGCTCTCTCTTCTAGGCATCCCTCCCCACAGTATTTACAACCCCAATTTGCATGTGCATCACTCTCCTCTCCGATGCTCCCTCTCTCTCCGCAAAGCCTACGCAGGCCGCCTCTCCTAACATGCGCCCAATCTACCCACTCTATTCTATTCATCCCTCCCCACGGTGTTTACATCCTGATTGCGCATGAGGATCTCCTTCCCTCTCTATCCTCTCCTATGCTTCCTCTTTCTTGTCTCGCAACGCCGACGGAAGCTTACAAGTTTCTAGATTCAGAAAAAAAAAAACGACTGCTTGCGCTGCACAACTCCTCCCTGGCCACCCTGTATATGTAAGCACTGGCTCTTGACCTCCGAGGTAATGCCGATGGGAGACTTTTCCTGTGCGTTGTTGAAAAATAAATATTCTCAAGTATTCATGGGGTGAATGATGATTAGCGGGTGAAGCTCCATAGGTACATTGGCAAACCGGGAATCTTCCGTGAATCTTGCCCAGTCGACCATTATGTAGAGACGTGACGATCACTGCATATACACGATGTAATGTTTTAATATTCGTAACTGCTCAAGGAGCCTCAGTTCTCACTTTGTACCCTCCCCCTCATCCACTCTCTCTTTGATGACCATAGGTACTCCCTTTTCCTAATAAAAATTATCTGTCTACCTCGCTTCGTAATTATTTGTACAGCCATGGTGACCGTGACCCGTGGTTCTTGTTCTATTCTTAAAACGTGTGGCGTTGTTATCCGTTTTCTTACATAGTCGGTGAGCCGTGGCTTTTCTGTTTTACATAATTTTGAACTGTCATTTTCATTCCCTTTTAATTATACCAGCTTTAAGGTAGGTAAAATGAAGAGAGATTGGTTCCTTGATAACTAGTAGTGGAAAAAATTGGCAGATCCCACGTACAGTGGGAATCGCTGATATGCGAAGCTCGAATTAGAAATGTTGATATGTCACTATAAAATCACCACAACATTATGAGGTGGAGGTAAATGATTCCGAACCTGACTTCCCTGTCATGATTATTATGTTTGGATGTGTTGTTTACCTTCGTTATCTATTCACTTCACGTGATACCAAATTTAGTATATGTGGAGCTAGAGAAACGGCCACGAGCACACAATGAGCGTGGCATGTTGTCATGTTCTTACATGACACACGTGTCAGGATTAGCATGTTTGCACCAGTCATATATTTTGTGATTCATTCACGTCACGTAACATCAAATTTGGTATATGTGGAGCTAGCAAGACGGCCGCGAGCGCATCATAAAGGGCCAATATGCTGCAATGTAGCGTTGACACGCACGCACTCTTGGCACGGTGACACTACATTAGCAAAACGCGAGCACTCTATAGTCTGACGCCAAGCGTTACCAGCGTCCGTCGGCACGGCCCGACGGCAACCAGAGCGAAATGTGACATGCTTAATTTCGCGCCGATGCGTTACCCAGACAACACTGCGCCTCCCTCTCTTCATGACGGAGGGACGCCGGACGCACTGAAATGCGCATGTGTCAAAGCAAAGCAGTGCGGCGCGCACCTTCGAGCGGGACCGGCGCAAGGCGTGGCAACGCCGGCGTGACGCGACGAAAGGAACGCCGGCGAGCACGCGCACCGCGTCATGTCGAAATGTATCGGCGCCTTCACTGTAGCATGTAGTCATGTTCCCACATGGCACGCATTTCATGATTATCATGTTTGCACCAGTCACACACCTTCGTCATCAAATTGGCGTCCCATAATACTAAATTCATTGATATGTGGGGTTTCACGTCCCAAAACCACCATATGACTATGAGAGATGGCGTAGTGAAGGGATCCGGAAATTTCGACCACCTGGGGTTCTTTAACGTGCCCCCAAATCTCAACACACAGGCCTACAACATTTTCGCCTCCATCGGAAATGCACCTGCCACCGCCGGGATTTGAGCCCGTGACCTGCGGGTCAGCAGACGAATACCTTAGCCACTAGACCACCGCGGCGGGGTCCGTAATACTAAATTTGGCATATGTGAAGCTAGCGAAATGGCTGCAATTGCATCATCAGTGTGGCATGTAGTCATGTTGTTATGTGACACGCATCTCATGATTATCATGTTTACACCGCTCACATACCTTCGTCATCCATTCATGTGCTGTAGTACCAAGTTTGGTATATGTGACGCTAGCACAACGGCCTCGAGCGCATCATGAGCGTGGCATGTAGTCATGTAATGATTTCTATGTCATGTCATGATTTTCAAGTTAGGGTCTGTCGCTTGTGTTCGCTATGCAATCATGCTATACAATACCAGTTTTGCAACATGCCATGTGAACGACACCTCCGCAAGAGCTTCAGAACCATGCAATATACATCATGACATTCATGACATACATGTCACGATTTTCATGTTATAACTAGTCAAATATGTACATACAGTCATGTTATGCCATACCAAGTTTGGCATTGATACCTTTCTCAAAACGGCCAGGAGAGCTAAAAGTCGTAAGTGGACAGACAGACAGACAGACAGATAGATAGATAGATAGATAGATAGATAGATAGATAGATAGATAGATAGATAGATAGATAGATAGATAGATAGATAGATAGATAGATAGATAGATAGATAGATAGATAGATAGATAGATAGATAGATAGATAGGGGTACACAAAGTGCCTGCATTTAGCTAAGATATGTTTCGTATTTAGAAACAAATCCTACATGAATGGCACAACTACAATATATGTAAGCATGCAGGCAGGTATCGTAAGCATTATAAAAATCAACAATTCGTTTACCTTGGCAATCGTCGTAAACACTTCGTGCCCCGCCACGGTGGTCTAGTGGCTAAGGTACTTGGCTGCTGACCCGCACGTCGCGTGTTCGAATCCCGGCTGCGGCGGCTGCATTTTCGATGGAGGCGGAAATGTTGTAGGCCCGTGTACTCAGATTTGGGTGCACGTTAAAGAACCCCAGGTGGTGTAAATTTCCGGAGCCCTCCACTACGGCGTCTCTCATAATCATATGGTGGTTTTGGGGCGTTAAACCCCACATATCAATCAATCGTAAACACTTCGTGCACATTTTTGTATATTGTCTCGTTCAAAGGAATGTGTTCGGAGAGCAAGAGTTTCAGCGGATTCTTTCCAAACACGTTTGCGTTTTCTCCTGCGTTCGTGCATCATTATTTTCTAGACAATCGTAGCGCTTCTGCACGACGCTTTTTGTTTACACTGTCTTGTCCCATTTTGATCCTATAGCAACGCCCTTTGTCAATACTGGTCCATGCTCAACGAAACTAAACAAATCAGCCAATTTGCGTCATCAAGGAGAAGAAAGGCTTCTGGTTTTGTGAAGTTGAGGATTCTTCTATGTTCTTCGAAAACTGTTTTTATTCAATCATGAGAGAGTAGACACTGGCGCTCGGTTGCTTACGATGCTCTGTTTAAAAGAGCTTGTATTCTTTACCTCTGGCGCACAGCACCGTGTTCATCAATTCACAAAACTTTTGTGGAGTACGGCGAACAAAGAACACGGTAGTATACCCTAGATACCTCATCCGAAAATAAACAAGACCCTTTCCGCATTTTTTTTTTTTTTGAAGATGCAAAGGGGCTGATGCTAATCGATTTCGCCTCCGTTTTTCTATGAAAAGCGTTTCTCTATTGAGAAACTTGGTATTTAATTTTTTTTTCAAGCATAGCGCTTCAAAAGAAGCCATCTGCTAAGCAGAGAGTGCTGAAGACAAATCAAAAGAATCGCGCCATCAAATAAACCCA